AAAAGAGTTCCCTTTTCTCCACATCCTCATTAACAACTTGTTACTGCCTGTTTGTTAATAGCCATTCTAACAGGTGTGAGGTAATACTTTGTGGTTTTCATTTGCATTTCTCTGGCAATTAGTGATGTTGAGCAATGTCTCATGTACCTGTTAGCCATTTGTATGTCTTCTTCAGATCCTCTGCCCATTCTTAATTGGATTTTTTTTTTGCTACTGAGTTATGTAAGTTCTTTGTATATTTTGGAAGCTAAGCGCTCATCAGGTATATAATTTACAAATATTTTCTCCCATTTAATACATTGCTGTTTCATTTTGTTAATGATCTCCTTTGCTGTGCAGAACATTTTTAGTTTGATGTAGTCAACTATTTTATATATTTTAACAACATTTTAAGGGTTTTTGTAGATGACATTTATAAAATGGTAAGCAATTTATTTATGTAGTCAACTATTTTATATATTTTAATGACACTTTGAGGGTTTTTGTAGATAGTATTTATAAAATGCTAAGTAACTTATTACCTTAGTCTTCATAACTCTTTGAAGACATCTGACTGTATTGCTACCAGTACCATGACTCTCATTTCTATCATTCTCTCTTTGTGCTTTAAAAAAACTCTCTTTTAAATATCATTCATCCATGACGGGATAACCAACAGCAAAATAAAAACCAAAACCCACCAAAAACCAATGGCAGGTCTTATTCCGCCATCATGTTGTGTGTTTATCTAGAATCACCAAAACCAGAGACAAACATTTAGGGCAACTGAAATAGCACAATGTAGTATGAAATTATTTAACTATCTTTTCAAAGATTTTATAGTTATCGATCAATTGCTTTTTCCCCCTTTTTGTTTTATGTGCTACAGTCACTTCATATTCTGTTCAAAACAGAGAAGTTTCCTGCAAGCAATGCGATTTATAAAAGTGGTTTAGACAGACTGTCAAAGCTTTCTTTAAGAAAGCTCAGGGGCTCTCAATAAGCTGACGAGACAGTAAGGGACATCTACGGGTTAAGAACAGAGTGGAAAGTAGCATGACAATAATTTATTTCTTACAAAGTAAATGCTTCTTTACACAGTTTTACAGAACAGGTATGAAATTGCCTAAAGCTCATTTATTCTGCTGTTTGAAGCAAAGTATCATTTTAAAGT